TTTAACACTTATTCAACATTAATGTTGGTATATATCGGTTCACTCCTTCTGGATATATTGGTCCACTCCTTCTGGTAACTCCCCCACAAAGGGTTACAATTTTGAATACTCACGAAGCTCATAAAATGCGAAATTAACATCCGATTCCATTTACACTTTCAATATCTCTATCAACACAAAATCTGTCACAAAGATGGTAGAAATCAGACAATTCCTTCTGGTACACAAAGGGTCAAAGTTTGAAGGTTTTGAAAAAGATCAGTTGTGAAGATGATATACATCTTCAAACCCCTTCTGGTACTTCACCCACCAAGGGTCACAATCTTCAATACTTTTATCTGTCATAACTTGCGAAACAAGTCAGCGATTCTTTAAATCTTCCTATATCTAAATATTTTTTTCAGCCAGACACCTGATATGAATATGGTATTTATTATAATATATAATTGGATACATCTGTTTGATTTTCATTATATTTTGCCCATACCAATATTTTTATCTGTATTAGATGAAGCAAGAAAATGGAATACTACAGTCGACTACATCTGGTACCTCACGCACATTTTAACATTTCCTAAAAATTATCACATCTCACAAATTATCTCATATAAAGTGAAGGAATTAACCAATAAAGTCCAAACCTGGCACATCGCAATATTTATATCATATTTATTTAGGTCCGATACGAAATGGTCAATATTGTCCTATTCCTTCGGAACCTACGCCATAGAGGGTCAACAATTTGAATAATCATAACATAAGTCAAAATATATTTAAATAATTGAACATTGGCTGAGGGTATACATCTGTCAGCAAAACCGACAGATGCCTTTTTAACTTTTATTTAAAAATTGGAAAATATTTGGAGTCGCAATCGAGTTATTTCGCGACTAGAGTTATACTCTGACTTTGATAATACATAACCAACATTGATATTTGAGAAGCCTCACTACTCTAATTCATAGTACAATAAAAAGGTAAGATAGAGCTACCAGCTGATTACAATTTTTTTAGTGTGCCCGACTTCTGCCAATTTAGTGTATGTATTTTTTGTTTTGAAAAATAAAAACAGAATATTTTCAAAATAAAAATAAATTGCGATACGCGCATTAAAGCCATTCGCCAGTCTTGCCATGGTGTTGGAAGATAGAACTGTTTAGATCGTACTTTTGAGAGAAAATTCAGGCAATTCATTCTTTTTTTTGCGCCATTTAACTCATTTAAAAAATGAGGGAAAATGTGAAAATATGAAAAAAAACTTGTATATAATTTTGAATGAGTCTGACAGGAAGCGGGCATAGCCTCAGGGCTGTATTTTTGTAGTTTTGCGAAGCTGTTCTACCTCCTTATTATACCATGCTCTAATTCAGATAAATTATAACATTTAATTTACTTACAAATGTTTTTTGATTTACTTATTAAAGTAAATTTCCCAAAATTACATGGTATGCAGTAAATTGTTTTTGTTTTAACAAAAACTGGGAGACCACACCCGATGCTTGGTGTCATGTTCTTCTCACATAGGAACAAGGAGGAAAAGCTAGCAAACAGCCAACCACAAAACAAATGATTATCAAATGATAGGATCACATGGCAAACCGCACGCAGATGCTTAGCACCATAGCTACATAACGACAGCAACAACAACAGCATGTCATTTTTAATGGCAATGAACATCGAGAAGAACAATTTATGTTACACCTGCGCGCATAAAATTCAAACGAATGATGATTGCCGAATGTTTGTTCTGCTCCAGGAGGCTGCTATTCTTGCTGATAACGACACCATTGAGGCAACAAGGCAATCCACCATTAGATCGGTGAGTGTATGTGCAATGCAGCCGCCACGATAAGCCCACAATGGAATAAGGGGCAATGCAATCTAAAAAACTCTTCTAACAATGGCCTAAAACAGATGCTAGAAATAATTCAAATATGTACCAACTCTGTACATAGCGAGACATAAACATACATACCTATGTGTTCTGTAAGTGCTGGGTAGGTTTTAAACACATCCGCCGATAAGTAACCAAAAAAGGAAACAACAAACATCGATTACAAAACCCCATAGAAAAACAAAACTTCATAAAAAATCAACACACCGAAAGAAGAAAAAATAAATTGATGATAACATGCTGCCAACATAGAACGCCCCGCATGCGCTCCGTGGTTGGGCAGATGTTCTGGATACAAAAAGTAAATCCTCTACAGTCCTAATTACTTTTTAACGCTCAAACTCGGTGTTCAACAAACAGTCAACATTCTATGCCCCGGATGCAAAGACCAACCAAACCATGTTTGAATTGTTGAAGAAAATCGCACTTTTTAATTATTGACAAAAGCTTTGAAGGTGTAGCAACATAAAAACAACAACAAAAACAATGGGCAACTGCATTGTGAGAGAGGGAGGAGTTAAAGAGAACCCTAGAAACAAACATCGGTTCACGGCCAGTGTTGCCGTTTTGGGCGTTTCCGTCCAAATTTGGGCGGAAAAAAGATTAATTTTGTGGTTTGGGCGGATTTTGGGCGGATTTTTTCCATATTGAGTACAAATTTATTTTTCATTGTTTATTTTTAGGTAATTTAATTTTTTTATTACTAACTGAATTTTATACTTTTTTTTATTGAGATGAATCGTTTTTTATTTTATAGATTTTTGTTAAGTTTTTTTTAATAATATATATAATACATTAGGCTGTAGTCGTGCGGGGCCGACCATGTGATACCCTACAACACTACAATATGTTAGAAGCCCCCTCATGTCCAAATCTATTTTGGAAGATTTCGCTTTTGAAATTGTCACGGAGCACTGACCAGATATTACCCTTAGCATTTTGACCAGGGACATTCTCCCAATAATTATGCTCTCCGTCGTGCTGTTAGTTTTTGTGGTCCATTTTACGGCTAAATATATTCCAATGGTCATCCAAAATGCCAGAATTCTTCCCTGTGCTTACCGATCTTCTCAGGCGTGTCGATTGTCTTCAATTGTGTGATCAGGAATTTTTTTTCTGTTTTTGGTTCATGTAAACCCCTAGATATTTTCCGATCATCTCTAAAAGCAAGAGGCCCCTCTGTGTCTCCGATATCCGTGTCTACGATATTTGGTCAACGAAATATTCGTCAACGAAATCAGCATTGTGTATCGCCTGCAAGTAATATTGGTATTTTTTTACACAAAAGTAGTGGTCCATTCTACCCGCTGTCCTAAGCTCTAACTTCATGCGAAATTTCGTGTCCTTAGGTTTATATTTGGGACCTTTATAACGGCTGCAAAATCAAGAACATTTTGAATTGCTGGTCCATTTCAACCCCTAAATATATTGCGGACATCTTTGAAAACAATAGGCTAAGCCCTTCTGAGCCTAACCCTACCTTTGTGAAAAATTTCATGAGGATGGAACGATAATTGCAATCTGTATATAAATAATAACCATAACCTGTGTCGTAAAGTGAAAAAAAATATTACAAAACAAATACTTCAATATTATAAGTCAATTTAACAAAAAAAAAAAAAAAATAGCATGCGACAAAAATATGAAAAAATAAATAAAATGTCACAAAATACTACAAAATCTATATGAACATCATTATTGGTATCTTTTTATGTGATTTTTTAGTATTTATACTTTAATGCCCCAAGGGCATTCTAAATTGACAAAATTTGTCAAAATCGCTCAAGCCATTCTGAAGATATAAGCATTCTAGTTGACATCCCCTTCCTTTGTATATATACATTGTATATATTTCTCTACATATATATCCGATATTTTTACTATCGGCATCTACGTAACGGTCAGAATTGACCTGTTCGTATATTTGTGATTTCGCCGGCAGTAAACATATTCGCGGATTAATGGAAAAAATTGACTTGTATTCATCGCAAATGCTATGGTCTACTAAACCACTAAATATTACCCGATGACCATCAAAATTGGAAGGCTTCTGCCCACTCAAAAGCTCTAGCCCCATGCTAAATTTCGATTGGTCTATGATTGTGACCTGTAGAGCAACTGCAAAATCAGGAAATTTTTCAGTTTTTGGTCCATTTTAACCCCTAAATATTATGCGATCATCTCCAAAAGAAGTAGGGTTCTATTCTGACCTTAACCCCAGCTACAGACGGACAGACGGACATACATAGCTAGATGGACTCAGCTCGGCGAGATAGGAAGATCCATATATACTTTCCTATGTGGGAAACCAATATTTCGTGGTGTTACATAATTTTTGGCCCAATGAAAGTTATAATACCCCCAACACAAATTTTATTTTCTCTAATGTATTTAATACATTGAATGTAATAAAACTTGAGTACCTTTTTTATGTATAGTGTAAGATTTTCAAAAAAATTACTTGAATACAAACTACATATAAATTATTCAACTTTTTACAGTTGGGCGGAAATAAAAATTTCAAACGGAAACACTGTTCACGGCACAACACAACGATTTGTTGTCCGAGCATCCATCCATAAAGAATAACATTGTAACCCTCATTTTTTTGTTTTTGTGGTGGTGGAGAGACCGTCCATGGTGTGATGTACACAACAGCCAACTGGATGAGAGTGAGAAAATTCATTAAAGCCAAGCGTTAACAATTACACTTTGCAATGAAGTGAATGACGAGAAAAATGGAGTTTCCCAAATGCAGTAGACATTCATTAACAGGCCTCCCGGTGTGAAGAACAAAGAGAGAGCTCAGCTCACTCCCAATTGTTGTGGCATTGGCTATCTCCCTCTTTCAGGTAGTCTCTTAAAATAGAGTTTGTTTGCCGACCAATCAGAAAACAGACTTGTTCAACCAGTTAGTTGTTTTTGTTTATCACTTCCTCTGTTTTTGTGTGTGTGCGAAAGAGACACACTGTAATGGATATTTGTTATTGTAAGAGAGAGTCGTTCCTGTTGTTATTAATGGATTCCTCCGTAACCAAAAAAGAGAGATCTTGTCAAACTGGATTTTGTTTGATCAGTGTTAAGAACTCACTCATCTTTAAAGAAGATCAGTTTGTTAAGAGACGTTGAGCGCTTAAGATCGTCGTTGTGTTCAAGTGGAGGTTTTTTTGAGTGTGTTATAAAGGAAAAAAACAATAAATTTAAAGAATTGAACTAAAAATTATTTTAATTAATTGAGAAAAATAAACGCAAAAGTGTCTGCTTTTTAAATAAATGAAAGAAAACTGAATCATTTTACAAGAAAAAAATATTTAACAAGAAAATAAAACAACGAAATGTTTAACGTACACGATTTAATGGAATATCGCATGCAACAGCAGCTTGCCCAAGAGATTTATCGACAACAGATCATGCAGCGTATACCGGGTAAGTTGGAATGGAGACAAAAATTACGAAACAAATGCCGGCGGCAATTTTTAAAATTTTCTCAAGCTAAACTAGAATTTGGAAATATTTCAAAAGTTATGATTTTTAAATCAAATTCATTTTTAAACTAAAAGAAAAACATAGTTAAAACCAAGGTATATTTACAAGGTGACACATTCTTTAGCTGTAAAAACAATTTTTTTTAAATTTATATTATTTTTTTTAACGAAATTTAAAGCCTACCTTCAACATTGTAACCAGGTATTATTATTAGCAAGGTATAAGAGACAATCAGCTGCTTCTCTAATTTTTGAAAATTAGTTTGCCTAAATTCAGTAGGAGTTGTCCCAGTTTTTTTTTTAAATCTTGGATGATTTTGTAAAATGTTAAAATTCCTGAATTTGACCATTCGCATAGAAACTGAATTATGATGTTATTCTTAAAATCTACATTTATTTCTTTGAAAGATCCTATTATGGCATTTTTTCGTCTGACAATTTATTTTCATAACATCAAAGGTCTTAATAAATAATAGGTAAAAATGGTTCTGCCCGTATATTTTGGAAAAAATAGAAATATTTATATGAAAAAGTTTTTTTTTTAATTTGAAAAATTTGTTTTGTTAGCAAAAGATATGTTTCCCATAATATTACATTGGTATATTATGATATTTTATATATTATGACTCTGTTTCAGAACTGCAAGAATGTAAAAGTTTTTACTACGATAACCGATTTTTATTTTATGATATCGAAAACAATTGCAAAACTAGTAGATTCTTGCAAGTTCTGGGTTATGATTTTCATTTAATTTCTAGCAAACTGCAAACAAACCTAATTTCAATAAGTTTTGAAAAAAATGAAATAAAAAACTCATCGATTCGTAATTAATTAATATTTATTAAGATTTTTTTTTAATTCTATTTTATTTATCCTTTCCCCTTTTTAGATCCCTTCCCACCCATGATCCCCATGCATGTGCCGATGCCGCATCATTTAATGGCCGCCCCACCACGTCCCAAACTACCCGGCAATGTTGAGGCTAAATTGGAAAATAATGATTTATGGCAACAATTTCATAAAATTGGCACTGAAATGATAATAACCAAAAGTGGAAGGTAAGTGATTCGAACACATCGTTTTATGCCCATAAATGAAGATTTAAGATCCTAAGCAAATATATGGACATACATATTTGAAGTATAGTATTGAAAGAAAAAAAAATGAAAACAAACAAACAAACATTAAGGTGGCGCCAGTGAATTAAAAGAAATCCTATTTTCGAAATCTACTAAAAAAATCTCCTGAGAAACTACCAGTGTTTGCATTGGCCACAAACAAAAAACAAATATCCTAAACAAATACTCCTTGCGATAACAAACAATTTTCGATAAATATCTTAAGCAAAATATAGTTTTCAGAGCAAATATTAGATAAATGGCGCCAAGTATTGGTGACTATTTGGAAAATATCAACAACAGGTTAGATATGAAGTTGTCACAAAAAAATTAAATCGAAAATTTGATCAAAAATCCTTTTTTTTATTTAACGATAAAAAGTTATCGAAAATGCTTTTTAAAAAATCAAATTTTTGTCACCGCAAATTTTCGACGAAACGCGCCATATACAGGGTGAGATAAAAAAAAAAACTTCAACAAAGTCAAAAGCCAAATTTTTTTATTTTTTTTTTTTTTAATTTTATTGAATGAAAGCAAAAAATGTCGGAGATAGCATCAAATTTTAGGCGCTTGAGTTCTGGTGGCCAACAGAAGGTGCACATTTTCAGCTGACCTCTTTGGCAAACAAACACGATCATTTTGTTTGTTTACAAACTGCTGGACAACGAATGTTTTCTCATCGGAGAAAACCAAATTCGTCCGGTCACCACTTTCGGCCAAGCGAAGCAACTCTTTAGCTCTTTTGAGTCTATTTTCTTTCTGTTGCGGTGCAAGTTCTTGCACTTTTTGGAATTTCAATGGCTTTACCCCGAGCTCATTTTTTAATATTTGGCGAATGGAATATTGCAATACGTTCAGCTCACGGCCATTGCGACGCGGGTTTCGATCAAGCCGCTTCTTAACTTTTCGAACCATTTCTGCTGATGTTGCAGTTTCCTTCAGTAGCATAATAATTTTAACAGCTGTCGGATGAGTGGCTTTGAAATGATAGCAGTCTGAAGTAGGTTGCAGTTTTTTCATCTCTCCCTGTATATCGAAGTATTTAAGTCTTATGTGAAGATTCTACAGGCAACAATCTAACAACTTTACTACGATAACCGATTATTCATTTGAGTTATCGAACTAGTACTAATTTTCAAGTTGTGGAACACTCAGTATACTAAGAAGGAAACATTGTTTCAGATCTCCTACAAAAATATAATTTATTGAAATGACTCGAAAATTATTTTTAATTAAATATTAAAATCCGATCGATTTTTCTAACAATTTTTTGGAAAATATTTCATTAATTCTTCAAAAATACCTTTCAACAGTTGTCATGTCATGGAATGAGCAGTGTGTTCTTTTTTTTTCTATGAACATTTAGCCCGCTTTGTTGTGGCAGAAAGAAAACATTTAAAGAAACGCTTACTGGCGCCAGTAGGGCCATAAAACCAGCATTAGGTCGCTTTGTGGGCCCTTCATCATTTTTTCCATTTTTTTTTTGTTTCTCTATAAAATAAAACAACAATAACTTCAAAAGACAACACAAAACACTTGTTCATAAACATCGAATGAAGGCGAAGAAGACGAAGAAGTGATAGGTGAACGGCAAGCGAGTTATTGTTTTTTTTTGTGTTGACAATAATATTGAGTTTTTTTGTTAAGAGCATTTTGGTCGGAGGCAGCACTGGGTATTATTTCTTTTTTTATTATTGACAAATATGATGAGAAATATAAAAGAAAGGGTCAAACAAAGGCTGAGACTGCCGCTGCCGCCAGGTGATCGACTACCTGAGATTTCACACATTTTTGTTGTTGCCGTGTCTAGAGCAACAATGAAATGAATATGAAAATGCTTTTGTTGTTGTTGTTATAAAGCCGATCGAGATTGTGATGCTTTGTCGGCTTCCTTTAATAATTCATTAGGCCCATTGTTTTTGATCAGCAGCAAGAATGTTCCGCAAAGCAGGTAGCTACCAGCAACCCACCAAATAGCGACAGGCGACATTATTTATGTTGTTTGAGAAAAAATTAACATAATTATGTGTGTTTTTCATTTAATATTTCATTTTCTCCTATGGTCCGACAAATGTGTGTTCGTTGCGTTGGTGTCTTGTGGGAAGCGGCCTACCTTTTTGGCTGGCATCCGTTTTCCAATTTTAGCTAGTGCTTCATTAGTTACTCATTAAAAATACATAAAAATCAAATTAGCCAAAAACGGTAAGGTACTACCATCCAACAGGTATTCTTGGGAAATAAGTTAAGGATAATACCTTGGAAATTGTGCGAAAAGGGAATTGAGGAAGAAGTAGAGGGGAAATGGTAACATGAAATAAATTGGAAGGATAAGGCAAATATTTTGTTTTCAAAGGAAACATTTCTATCAACCTTTGGTTTTAGATTTGGTTTGAAATTAATATATGAGAGGCTTATTCAATTCTGAATCGATTTTCACCAAATTTGACGGAGATATTTTTATCTCTTATACCCAATAACATAGCTATAAAGTGCATGATATCACTTCGAGTATTAGTTATATTAAAATAATATATATCGGAGCCGAATTACACCAAATGGAAATGTACGTCCCGAAATTCATACCATTTTGGCTGATCTTAGCCATTATTTGCATAATAACCCCGAAATCGGATTTAGAAAATATATGGGAGCTATATACTTTTATTTGCGGAAAAAACTTTGACTAAAAAAAAAGACGTTTGGTGTGGTTTGGAATTATAACTTGCTTTCTTTATTTTTCACTGGCTTATATACTAAAATTCTGTTTATTGCTGCATTTTCGTTGTCGGAAATGCAGCAGAAAAGAAAATACAGTTTTAGGCTAATATTAATATTTAAGTAAACAATTCTTTGGAAATTTGTCTGGAATAAAATGTTGAATTGCATATCAATATTTTAATAAACAATTCTTACAAATAAAGTATTAATGAATATTTATTCTTTGGAAATTTATTTTATAAAAATGCTGGATTTGCATATTAATATTTTGGTAAACAATTCTTTGGAATAATAAAATGTGGAACGATTCTCATTAAGGGAATAACGGGAGACACTATCGTTGAGGGGAATTAGTAGTTGATACTATAACACCCCCACCCTTAGTTTGAGGCTCCGACGAAATTATATTATCTTTGCCGGATTGTTTATAATAGTTTGGTTTTTTAATTGTACATTTGGAACATAGGTTTGTTTATTCTTAAAGAGATATATAAATATAATTAAGATACATATTGATGTACCGATTAAAATATCTATACTATAGCCAATTATTTTTGAGTTTTTATCTGTATATAGTACTTGTTTCAGTGTTTCCTCGTATTCTATTTGTTTTAGATATAAATTTTCAAGTTTTATGTCTGCAAGTGTTGTGTTACTGGTATCTTTAATTTTTGTTATAAGGTTAGGTAGGATAAACTTGTCTTGTATTTTTATTTTAAAATTCGTAAAGGTTTTGTTTAACGTGTTTACTTCACAATTTTCGAATTTGATTAAGTAATTTCCTGAAATTTTTAATTTATCTTTGTTACAATTATGTGATATCGTACTGTTAAAGTGTTTAAGGATTAATACTCCTGGAATTATTTCGCTAATTTCTTGTGTATTTAATGTTTGCGTTTTGCAATTAGCTTCTTCAAAGTTTAGTATATTGTTCAAACAATTATCATTAATTTTTATAAGATTTCTTTTTAGGTTATCTTTAATATACGTGCTATAAATATTTCTTTCTAAATCTATAAGAACATCAGAATGATTAACCATTATGGATTTATTATTTTTGTCAGGAATGGGTACGAATGTTACCTTGGATAGTGAATCTTGGGAATATTGTGGTATAGAGAGAATTATTATAACGTTCCCTTCATTACGTGCTATGGCTACTTTTATATTGGTATAGCTGTCAAAGCTTGTGATTAAATCGAGTTCTGTTTGGGTGAGAATATCTGTGGGAATTATTCCCAGTTTCCCGGAGAAAATAATCTGTCCTATGTCGTCTACGTGATGCCGTAGGAGTGAGATGTCGTTGTTAATCTGGTATATGTGTTCTATAAATGTTATCTCGTCCTCTATGGTTGAAATTTTATTCCCTATAATATTCTTGAATTTGACTAAGTAGTCCCCGATAATGTTTTGCTGATAGTTTATATGGTTAGTTATGTTCTGGATTTGGGAGTTCATGACATTGTTTATATAAGTTAGTTTGTTCATTTTGTTAGTTAGGTTTTCTTCGTTCGAATGTAGAGATTTGAGAGCTTCAGTTATTTGTTCTTCATCATCGCTGTCCATTGTACCTGCAATCATTTTTAAGCCTTTTCCTATAATGTTTAAGAGTGCCCGTTTCTTTCTAAAATGTGGGTTAAGATTTTCTATTTTCGCTTTTAGTAGCATAAAGTTCTTGTTTATTGTACTGATTAATGTTTTTGATTCGCTACTGGATGTCTTTAGGGTGTCAATGTTGGTTTTAATTATCTCCATAGTTCGTTCGAATTCTGTAGTGTTTATTATGTGCAGTACTTTTATGTAGTGTTCTACGGTATTGGTCTCTCCTGTTTTTATCGGTATGTAACCATTATTGTTCGATAAGTCTTGTATGTCAAGGGTTTGGGCCTTGGTTGCTGTAGTAAATGCAACCATTATTATGATCCAGTTAATCATCTGAAAGGGGATGGTAATTATCTAGATTTTGCTTTAATTTTTGGGTTATTCTTGTCTTGATATTTCTTTTGAGGTCTTATATGTGCTTTGTAATATTTATGCCCTGTTTTTGTGTTTTCAATATGATCTTCATCGACTTTCTCAGATTCTATCTTTCTGTACCTCCTATGATTTTTACCCCCTCGAATTTCTCTTATATAGTTTGTACCTTCCTCTATCACTATATCGGTTCTATTTTTGTTAAGTTTATTAATATAGTTATTTTTCTTCTTTAATATTAGATCATGTATTTCGGGATATTTATCCTCATGTACTTTGCCATTTATAAAGTCTATAGGTTTGATTTGTGTGGTGCTATGAATAGTATTATTATAAAATCCAATGATACGTGATATTTTTTCCTCTGTCGTTTCGTCTTTGGATTGTTCGTCATGTCGTAGTAATCTTAAGTGTTCGTTCAATGTATTGTGAAGTCGTTCGATATCTGCGTTGGATGTATGGTTACTGTTTGATGTGTAGTGTATATTAATGTTCTCTTTCCTTAAATATTCTTGAATCGGAATGGCTTTAAATCCTAACTCATTGTCAACAACAATTTTTTCTATTCTTCCAAATGTGCTGGTATATTGCATTAATTTTGATTTAAACTCTATCCATGATCTTCCATTAATTTTGTATGCTGTGGCGTGTTTTGAAAATTTGTCAATTATAGTTAAGTAAAGTTGTTTCTCTAGTGTATAGAAAACGTCTAAGTGTAATATTTCCCTGGGTTTTGTGGGTGTTTCCGTTAGTTTGTAAGGTAGTCTAGGTGGTCTTCTGTCATACTTTTCCAATGTGCATATTTCGCAATTGTTAATGAACTGGGTTATCCTTAATTTAAGTTTGGGGTTATAAATTTTTGTTTTTAGTTCCTCGAACACTACCTGAATTCCTCTGTGATTTTTGCTTAGATGTTCTTCCTCAATTATGTTTGTTAGTTGGAGTTCGTCTTCTATATCGTCTAGTTTCTTAAAAGTCCTGATTAATTTGAATCCGTTATTATTTGAAAAGAATTCCCTACAAGTGTCTCTGAAAGTGTCGTAAAATTCATTGTCTATCAGAACTGCATTTATTTGTGTTGGGTGACAGTGGGTTTTTAAAATCATAATTGCATACTCTTTATCTAGTTCTTTTATTGTTACAGTTTTTCTAATATTCTGAAAGATGTTTTCGGTTTTTATCCTTGCTGATCCGGAATGAATTTTTTTTTACGATGAGTTGGTTTTTAAATAAATTTATAGGTGAATCGCTCTCTTTAAGAATGGGTTGGATGTTTTCTAATGAATTGATCTCAACAATTTTATTTTCGATCCTTGATAATGCATCTGCATTACTGTTTTTTGTTCCCTTTTTGTATTTAATCTCATAATCGAATTCTGACAACCTGAGCCTCCATCTGACTAGTTTTGAGTTGGGTTCTTTAATCGAAAAGAGCCATGTTAGCGGTTTGTGATCTGTCTCGATTATGAACTTGCGTCCGAAAAGGTATGGGCGAAAGTATTTTGTGGCCCAAATAATTGCTAGAAGTTCTTTTTCTATCGTACTGTAATTGATCTCGTGATCATTTAGGGTACGACTAGCATAGCAAATCGGGTGGTTATCTTGAGATAGTATCGCTCCAAGGGCAAAATTACTAGCGTCTGTTGTTAGGGTGAATTTCTTAGTAAAGTCGGGGTAAGCGAGGATTGGGTCGTGTATTAGTAAGTTTCTTAGCGTATTAAAGCTTTCCTGATATTCTGGATTGGATATGTTTATTTTGGCATCCTTTTTAAGACACTTTGTCATGGGTTTAGCTATTAGCGAATAATCTTTTATGAATTTTCGATAATAACCAGTTAACCCTAGGAACTGTTTAATTTGTTTGGGCGATTTGGGGATGGGGAAGTTAACTATGCACTCGATTTTTTTTGGGTTAGGTTTTATACCTTCTAATGTCACGACATGGCCAAGGAATTCAGTTTCCTTTTTTAAAAATTCCGACTTGTCCAATTGGACCTTGAGGTTGGCTTCTTGCAAACGGTTAAAAACAAGTTTTAATGAATTTATGTGTTCCTGCAGTGAGGTGGAAAATATTATCACATCGTCTAGATAAACCAGACAGATTTTGTTGATATAGTCTCTAAGGACGTAGTTCATCAACCTTTGGAATGTCGCTGGGGCTGTCTTTAGCCCAAACGGCATTCGTAAAAACTCGTAATGGCCTCCTTCTACACTGAAGGCAGTTTTATGGATGTCCTCCTCTTCGATTTCAATCTGATGAAATCCTTTTGCGAGGTCAAGTGTTGTAAAATACTGGCATCTTCCCAGTTTGTCGAGTATTTCGTCAATGTTAGGTATGGGGTACTTATCATCGATTGTAACTTCATTTAATTTACGGTAATCAATGACAAGTCTCCATTTGTTCTTCCCACTTGCATCGGCCTTTTTTGGCACAATCCAAATAGGGGCAGAATAAGGCGAATTGCTATGCCTTATTATATTATTTTGCAACATTTCTTGTATCTGTCCTTCGACTTCTCTTTTATGTATGTAAGGATATCTATAGGATTTACTAATTATTGGAACATTGTTTGTTGTCCGAATTTTATGCTTTATAACGTTGGTAAAACTCAATCGAGTATTTTCTTGGAAGAAGATTGAAGAGTATTTTTTTATTAGCTGTAAGAGACATCTTTTCTCTTCAGAATTAAGGTGTTGTGTCCTAATTTGTTGTTCCAAGCTATGATATTGCTTCATATCCTTGGTATCATCGCCTACCTTCTGCGTGGGCATGATTTTACTTAAATTTTTGTTATATTGTTCTTCAAAAAATATTGGTTTGTCATTTGTTTCTTCTCTATTTTCGCTATTTTTATTGTCAAAAAGTATTGGCATGTCCTGTCCGTTTATTTGTATGGAATTGTTTTTATAATTTATGCAAGTATTGTATGTTTTAAGTATATCGTTGCCTAGTAATCCATCATAGTGATTGTGAAATTTTAAAACATAAAACTCTAACGCATTATTAGTTATATTAAATTCTTGAAATGCTGGAATTACTGCCTTTTCTGTTATGGTAACTTGGTGTTGGAGAGTTTTAATAACAAGAGGTTTTATTTGGTGTATCCATTTCGGATGACAAATTCCTGGATTAATAATTGAATTAGTGGCTCCAGTATCCACTATCAGTCTCAAATGACCTAACTTGGTTTTTACCATTATATATGGTAATTGCCTGTCGAGGCTCTGTCCCGAAAATTTTCGGCTGTGCCTATTTCCATGGGTTCAGGCTGATTTCTAGTGTTTTGTCTGTTTGCATGGAAAGGGTTTTGGAAATTTCCTTCGTGGTTTGGGAATGGTTGTTGGTAATTTCTTCCTTGGTTTATGAATTGTGGTTGGTGATTTCTTCCTTGATTTGCGAATGGTGGTTGGTGATTTCTTCCTTGGTTTGGGAATGGTTGTTGGTAATTTCTTCCTTGGTTTGGGAATGGTTGTTGGTAATTTCTTCCTTGGTTTACGAATGGTTGTTGGTAATTTCTTCGTTTACTAGATTGTGCATTGGTCTGTGCTCTATTTTCATTGTTTCCGGTGTATGCGTAGCCGGCTTGAAATAATATGTCCATGGCCTGTTCCAAGTCTCCTGGGTTCCTACAGAGCAGGATGGATTTCATAGGCTCTGGAATTTTGCTTTTAAAAATGTTTAAAGCGGTGCGTTTATTATTAATCGCACTTTGCCTAGTTGCTTCACCTTCTCCTAGTATAACTACCAGTTTGTTGTTTAGTCTGTGCAATTTGTCCTTTACGTCATTATAGAAGTCTAGTGTGTTCGTCCTGAAAGTCACACTCCTTAGTTCGTCGAAAAGTTCTTCACTAGAACGTCTGTCCCCAAAATTGTTTTGCAACATGTTTTTTATGTCAGTCCATGAAATCGCGTGGCAGTTTATCTCAATTGCCTGCCTAGCTTTTCCTTTGAGTTTGGACTTTATAATGTCGGAGAAAAGTAATTGGGACAATTCGTCGTATGTGCGTAAGTGTGGGTAAATTCGGTCAACGAGGGTAGTAAAAGTCTGTAAGTTTTGTGAATCCCCATAGAACTCCGGTAAGTTGTTTAAGTATTTTAGCGGGTCTATGATTAGTCTATTAATCTGATTTTCGGCCTGTTCTGCCATTTTAGTTATTTATTTTCCTTTATATTTTGGGTTATAGTCTTGTTTAGTTTTTTTCTTTTTTTTTTTTTTTGTTTATCTACGTCTAAAATATTGTCTGAGTTTCTTTCTAAAAATGCGTCTGTTTCTGCTACTTCTTATGTCACGAATGTAATGTTCTGTTCTTTCGTCAGTCAGGTATCCATCATTCGATTCAATCCCTGAGTCAAGTTCTAATGCTGTCGACCCGTTATTAGAGTTTCTTGGTATGTATTCAAAGTCTGATGGGTACTCTGATAATGAGTCACTATCGCTCATTGAAATGGGAAAGAGGGAGGAGAGGAGAAAAAAAAAATTTTCAACAATTGCTTGTAGGGAATTATTTTCCTACACGATTTTTCACAAAGGTATGTTAAATATTTTCTTATAAAATATACAAGTTATTCTTAATTATAGATTTCTAGAGATAGTCTTACTTTGTAATTTGGTTGTTGGTGCTAAGGATTGCAGGTTTACTTTCTTCTTAGTAGTAGGGTCTTCCACGGTGCAGTTCTCGGCATGAACTGTTCCTTATTGGTTTGTTGGTAATGTTATTTCTTTACAATATTGCTCCAATAGTTGCTGTTGTTTTATTACTTCTCCTTGTTGTTGTTTGCTTGTATTAGACCCGTATTTTAAATTTTATTTTGTTTTGTTGTTGTATTGGTTATTTTTTCTTGTTTTTTGTTTAATATAGTTTTAATCAGTCTTTATATTATGGTTGTTGTTTTTTTTGAAGTTTATAATCCACTGAAGGAATATCCCTTTTTTTTTTTTTTTCACTAGGTTTCCTTCTGACACAAGGATGTTCACCAAAAGGATAGATCTTTATATCCTTTCTGGTTCCACTAATATTTTTTTAGTCACAGGGATATTTCTTAATATCCTTTTTTTTTTTTTTTTTTTCACTAGGTTTCCTTCTGACACAAGGATGTTCACCAAAAGGATAGATCTTTATATCCTTTCTGGTTCCACTAATATTTTTTTAGTCACAGGGATATTTCTTAATATCCTTTTTATTTTTTTTCCTTCATAAAATTTGTGTATCCTTTAATCTTATAAAGGATATTTCGAATACCGCACTAAGGATTAAAATCCTAGTTCTATCGCGCACAATAAAATCTGTTTTATTATTTTTATACGTTGGATAGGACTTTGCGGTATCCTACCGACTGCGCCACTTTTATTTGCGGAAAAAACTTTGACTAAAAAAAAAGACGTTTGGTGTGGTTTGGAATTATAACTTGCTTTCTTTATTTTTCACTGGCTTATATACTAAAATTCTGTTTATTGCTGCATTTTCGTTGTCGGAAATGCAGCAGAAAAGAAAATACAGTTTTAGGCTAATATTAATATTTAAGTAAACAATTCTTTGGAAATTTGTCTGGAATAAAATGTTGAATTGCATATCAATATTTTAATAAACAATTCTTACAAATAAAGTATTAATGAATATTTATTCTTTGGAAATTTATTTTATAAAAATGCTGGATTTGCATATTAATATTTTGGTAAACAATTCTTTGGAATAATAAAATGTGGAACGATTCTCATTAAGGGAATAACGGGAGACACTATCGTTGAGGGGAATTAGTAGTTGATACTATAACACTATATCTCCAAATCTGAGTCGATTTCCACAGAATTTGGCAGAGGTATTTTCGAGCTGTATCTAATGACCGGTATCAAATATCATTGTTCATATCATATCAATTGCATATTACGCATGTGAGGGACTTAAACACCCAAATCGGGTGACACCTATATATGAGAACTATTGCTACATCTGAACCGATTTTCACCAAATTTGATGTACTTGATAGACTGATATTGACCATTTGGCGCACAATTAACCTGAAATCGGTTAAAGATATATATGGGAGCTATATCTAAATTTGAACCGATTCTCACCAATTTCAATAGGGTTTGTCCTTGGGCCAAACAATTGTTGTTTGCACAACAAAATGCACAAAGACATGATGCCCTTACCACGATGTGGTGTAGGGTATAAATACCATATGATGTTCCCCTAAAAGTATGCCACCCTGAATATGGAAATTTGCCAAATTCCAATTTTATTTCACTGCTCTTCCCTTCCCTTTCTTTCCGGCACAACATAATTAATCATGTTCTTAACAAGATTTGTATCGTTTTAACTCCTTGAAAACCACAAGCCAAATTCCACAGGTACTACCCACATTTCGAAATGTGTTGTTAACTTGTTTAGGCTAACGTGGCTTGGGATTTGGATTGAGATTTGTCTGTCTGGCTAGCCGGCTGGCTGGCTGGTTAAGAATACACAAATCTGTCAAAAGGCGCCAGTACTCTTCTTTTCTTCAATAACTCCTGCTGTTATAATAAAACACCCTCCCTTGATCAAGATCACCATCATCATCATCTCCATCATCATCATCAACATCATGATGCTGATCTTGATAATTATATACTGCCAAGTCATTTCACTTGTTTGCTTTGGCCAAGGAATAGAGAATTTCTTTGTTTGTTTGTTTGTTTTGAATGCAAAGCCACAAATCAATACCAGGTTAACACCCATTTTATTTGTAGAACATGATTTATGATGATAATGAAGATAGCGAAGATGATGATAATGATTGTTTTTTATTAATATTTTTATTTTTTTTTCTTCCTTTTTCTCTTTAGACGTATGTTCCCCTCCATGCGTGTATCTGTGACGGGCCTTGAGGAAGACACCCAATATTGTGTGCTCTTGGAAATGGTACCCATTGGAGATTGTCGTTACAAGTTTTCCGGCTCACAATGGGTTCCAGCTGGCGGTGCTGAGCCACAATCACCCCAGAGAATGTTTTTGCATCCCGACAGCCCTGCCAATGGTTCCCACTGGCAGTCCCAGGCCATACTCTTCAACAAGGTTAAATTGACCAACAATACCCTGGATAACAGTGGCCAGGTAGGATAACCTAACTTTACTGTCTTTTTTATAATTTACTAATTAGAACCCTTTCTCGTTCTCTTTACAGATCGTATTGGCCAGCATGCACAAATACCAACCTCGTCTGCACATTATCAAGACATCCGATTTGACCCAATTACCCTGGTCTCCCCAACAAAATTTCGTGTTCCCGGAAACTGAATTCATAGCTGTAACAGCCTATCAGGTTAGTAGTCTAATGAAACTCTCCCACGACAAGTACTTTAAGTGTCTAGACTCTGACTCTATTTAGCTGACAATGACGCCACAGTGGTCTCTCACTCTCCCGCTCTGTAAAGTGATACCGAATTTACCATTCACATTTTTAGGTTGAGGACAATTATTTAAATAAAAATTTCACGCCTTTTCAAAGGCCTTGAAGGTCGCCCACAGCAGGGTTGTTCTAATGACATTTTTATACACTCAGACAAAGAGCCAAAGCAGTGACAGGCCACTTAGTATGACGCGTCAGCAACCACTTAAGGGCGCACTAGCAGTAGTGAGGACATAACATTAACAACTTGGCTAATTACTGGCGGCAATTTTGACAATTTCAAGTGTTTTGTGACACCCCTCACGACATACCCAAGAGCCCAGAAGAGACACTTTAAAAAAATATCCTTATTTTTAAATAATCTATTAATGAATTCGTTTTTTTCTTTCTATTTTTAGAATGATCGCATCACCAAACTCAAGATTGACAACAATCCCTTTGCCAAAGGCTTTCGTGAAACGGGACAATCTAAATGCAAAAGGAAACTAATGTCCTCTTCCTCTTCCTCTTCGTCGTCGTCAACACATGGCGAAGAAAGTGATGATTGCCTCTCCAAGGCCGATGATGATCGTTCCAGCACCACCAGCTATGAGTCACCACAGCAGAAACGTTTAAGGCCCTCGGAAAATTCCGATGAAGAATCTGGCTACAGTTCATCACGTTCTTCACGCTCCATATCGCCACGATTTGAGGACTATGCAACACAACATCACCGTCAGCAACAACACCAACAACATTATGCCCATCATTTGGCCTACTCTTCCTCACCCACCTCCTCATTCTATCATCCACAACAACATTTAATGGCAGCCACCTCGCTAATGCAACATCCTTTGCAAACCTTGCTAAGAGATCCTCCACAGCCACACATTGCATTGCCTGCAACCGTAAATTCTCCTCCAGCATCGGACAACGCAAGTACAGAATCGACTTCAACAACATCTCCCACACCTCCCGCCACTCAATCAAACTCAACCGCACAGAAGAGAAACAATTTCAGCATTTCGGCTATTTTGGCATTTTAAGGTCAAATAAAAACTTTTGCCTCTTTTGTTTTGAGATTTGAATTCAATTCTGTTCTGTGGTAATGCTGTGCATCTTTACTCCCCCTCCTCTACCCCTGAACCCTTGTCGTGAATATTTACCTTTAAGCGAATTAAAATTGTTAAGCAGTAGAGAACAAATGTTGTTAATTTAGTTTTAAGATTTTTATTTTATTAAGACTTTTTGTAAACCTTTTAGTTTTAAGAAAGAAATAATTATAAATAAATAAAGAATAAAAACAATTAAATTGAATGAATGAATGAAATTACGGTCGGAGGGTGTAAAACCCCTCCACAGTGAGAGAGCATTGGTATCCAAGTGGGATATTAATTTTATTGGGATATTTTATTATTGGGGTTGTAACCCTTGCGATGTCAGAGTTGGAGCCGAGCAATTTATGTGGAATTGGCAAAACTTACTCGATTTTGGGGAAAGCATTTTTTCGATTACAATGTGGACATAAATATGTGACACGTATATTCATGGTACAATGGGTAGGTAGAGCAGGTTCGTAAAACTACAGAAATACAGGCATGAGGTTATGCCATATGTCAGAAATATTCGAAATATATATACAAATCGTTTTCATTTATTTCATATATGCTCTATTCCACAACCTGCAGGAATCTACTATTTTTCCAATTTTCTTCGATATCATAAAGGAACAAGTAATAGCATGTTTCCATTGAAAACCGAACAACGTTGTTCGCTCTCAGAATTAGGTACACGAATTAACCCGTTCACACGTAATTCATAATTCATAGTAAAATAATTCATTTTTTCAAAAATTTTGTTTGTTGATTTTAATGGGAATTTATACTAAAATACGTTAAATTCTCACTAATATGAGTAGAAGAAATTATTGTTTTTCTCCCAAAGATTTATTATACCAATTATTTTATAATTTTCATTCATGTTTTCAACTTTTTGTATAAATGTTGACATTTTTAACATATTTTTGTATTTTTCTGCTTTTTAATTCTGCTGGAGAGACACTTGTCAAACATTTTTTTCTGCCGATACAATCATTTTGAAAATATTGCCTCTTTTGTTTCCAGTTTTCTGTGGAAATTTCAACTCGTGGACAAAATGCGTACCTCGGATGAGAGAGAAAACAAAATTTACTTTCGTTTGAATGTACATACGCTATTCAACATTGTAGTTTTAATTCATAATTTTCAGTCTTCCCAAAAAATTATCAAAATTTCATTAAATTTTTCTATTTTCAATTTTTAAATGTCATAATTTATTTTTTCGATAAATGCTCTCATTTGTTAGGGATGGGACACATTTTTTCGTTGTTCTGAGAGTGATTTGATTTGAACTATGTAAAAATATGAGTGTTCGCTCAGGAAATTTTGTGTGAAGAATTAAGTAGTTTTTTCATAGTTAAGGGTCAAACAACGAATAGAGAGCGAATCAAGTGCAGTGGAAACGCCACATAACCAAAATTAAGTTCAGCCAGTTCGAACTTCTAATGTCCTCCACCATTAGGTAAAGAAAGCAATTTTATAGAAAAGTATCTGGATTCAAACGTGTTCCACTTTAAATTGCCAACTCCCGTAAGAGCGGTAGGAGAATGCAGTTAGAGTTTTCAAAAAACTATATACTGGCTGGAACCGTTATATGAGGCCATACCAAAACGGGAGCTTATACAGGGTGAGATAAAAAAACTGCAACAAAGTCAAACGCCATAATTTTTACATTTTTTTTTATTTTATTTCATGAAAGCTAAAAATATCGAAAATAGCATCAAATTTTAGAATAAATTTAGATTTGTTCGAATTAGCCACCTTTGGCACGAATTATGGCATTCAAACGGCCAATGGAACCGTCACACGCTGTCCGAATGCTGCTCTGCGGTATTTTTGCCCATTCCCGGCAAAGCACTTGCTTGAGGTGATCGAAACCTTTAGTATTTTTTGTGCCAACCTTGCTTTCCAAAATACTCCAGACACAATAGTCCAACGGATTGGTATCCGGGGATTTTGGTGGCTATTGTGCGCTGGAAAAGAAGCTAGAAACCTCAGTGAGGATTCTTGGGTGGCGCGTGCTGAGTGCGAGGTGCTGAGTCCTGTTGGAATGTCCAAGGTCTGCGGCCAAAATGTTTGCGTGCCCAAGGCTTAAATACACCCCCAGACTAATATTCTGTATTTATTCTGATGCCACGGTCGATTAATACGAGCGGAGAGCGACCATCGGCTGTTATGGCGGCCCACACCATCACTATGGCCGGCGCTTGAGTTCTGTTCTGGTGGCAAACCGAAGGTGCACATTTTCAGCTGACCTCTTTGGCAAGTAAACACAATTATTTTGTTTGTTTACAAACTGCAGGACAACGAATGTTTTGTCATCTGAGAAAACCAAATTCGGCAGTTCAACACTTTCGGCCAAGCGAAGCAACTATTTAGCTCTTTTGAGTCTATTTTCCTACTGTTGCGGTGTAAGTTCTTGCACTTTTTGGAATTATAATCGTTTTACCCCGAGCTCATTTTTCAATATTTACCGAATGGAATATTGCGATATGTTCAGCTCGCGAGCCATTTTTCGGCCACTGCGACGCGGGTTTCGATCAAGTTGCACCTTTACTTTACGAACCATTTCTGCTGATGTTGTTGTTTTCTTCCGTCCACTTCCTTGACGTCTTGCTACGCTACCAGTACCTGTATCACGGTAACGAGCGATGGTACGAGACACAAAAGATTTATTCACATTTAAATGCTGGAGTGCTCTAACGATAGCCACTTGTGGTTTTCCAGCCAAATTTAAAGAAATGACACTGTCACGCTTGAATTCCATCACGAATAACTTTTTTTCTGGAAAATTCTTACCAAAATGCCTTTGTACGCTGTAAGCAATATAATGAGCTGTCACTGGAATAATTTTAACCGCTGTCGGACGAGTGGCTTAGAAATGACAGCAGTCTGAAGTTGGTTGCAGTTTTTTCATCTCACCCTCTAATATTGTACATATATTTTGCTATATATGAGATATCTTGGCTGATATCCAAGATATCAATGTCACGGTCAGAAGTGACCTTTTCGGGTGTTTGTGTTTTCGCTGGAAATAAAAATATTATCGGTTTCATGGAAATACTCGTATTTTTATACCCTTCACCATAGTTATAATAGTTTGTCATTCCTTTAAAACGATTCGAAATATAAATTTTTGACCCCACAAAAATCTATGTCGATTTAGCGATGTCCGCCCGTCTGTGGAAATCACTCTAGCTTCCGAACGGAATGAAGTAGGTTGATCAAATTTTACTCAGTTGTATTTTCTGTCTGAAGGACTTTTTGTATTCAAAATGGGCGCTTGGGTATAGCCCCATTATACCTGTACCGCCAGATATAGGCTTTGCTCTAAATTGACGGCATGTGCTGCCATTCTGGAAGAAACATCCTTGTATAGAACTGTCAATATAGGTCTACGTTTTGGTAATGCCTCAATATAACTGTACCTCCAGATATTCGATATTTTGATGATTTTTGTCACACTTTTCTACGGAAATGTTTCAAATTTTGAATTTGAAGCTCCTTATCGGTACTACATCCTATGGCGGGAAATATAGCGCCCATATAACGATACCTACCGATGTTCGGAATTGTTTCAAATTACGTATTTTTAATGGGTTCTGCAGATGTGGCAGAAAATTGCCTGTACATGCTCACGCCTTCGTATAGGCCCAATATAACGGTAAATCCCTATTTTCAGTATTTTTTAACGTTTTTTGCCAATTCCTTTCAAATGGTGGAACTTACTGCTTTTTCACTTGTTATACCCTCCACCATAGTATGGAGGGTATATTAAGTTTGTCATTCCGTTTGTAACACCTCGAAATATGCATTTTAGACCCCACAAAGTATATATATTATTGATCAGCATAAAATTCTATGTCGATTTATCAATGTCCGTCCGTCTGTCCATCTATCCGTCTGACCGTCTGTGGACATCACTCTAGCTTCCGAACGAAATGAAGTAAGTTGATAGAAATTTACTCAAATGTGTTTTATATTTGCAGGACTTTTTGTATTGAAAATGGGCCATGTAGGTCCACGTCTTCTAACGGTACCTCCCGATATTCGGTATTTTGATGATTTTAGCGACATTATTTACCGGAATTGTTTCAAATTTAGTGTTTGAAGTTCGTAATGGATACTATAGCCTGTGACGGAAAATAGGCCACGTAGGTCCGCGTCTTCGTATAGCCCCCATATAACAGTACTTCCCGATATTTGGTATTTTGGTGATTTTAGCGACATTATTTACCGGAATTATTTAAAATTTAGTATTTGAAGTTATTAATGAATGCTGTAGTATTCATTGACAGTATTCTATGGCTGATAATTGTCTCTGCAGGTCCACGTCTTCGTGTAGCCCCCATATTATGGTACCCCCCCGATATTCTGTATTTTGATGATTTTAGCGACATTATTTACTTAAACTATTTCAAATTTTGTATTCGAAGTTCGTAATGAATTCTACAGCCTATGACAGAAAAATGTCTGTGCAGGTCCACGTCTTCGTATAGCCCCCATATAACGGTATCCCCTGATATTCGGTATTTTGATGATTTTAGCGACATTATTTATCGGAATTATTTCAAATTTTGTATTTGAAGTTCGTAATGGATTCTACAGCCTATGCCAGAAATTGTCTATGCAGGCTTATGACAAAAGTTGCGTATGTAGGTCCACGTCTTCGGATTTTTAAGATTTTAACAGAATTTTTAATGGATTTTAATTTTTTGAAAATTGCCAAATATGTACCAAATGGTGGAAGGTATTCAAAGTTCGGCCTGGACGAACTTACAGCTTTTTTAACAGTTGTATCGAAAGGTGTTAAGCCTTAAGAAATTTCAATAATATTCAAATAATATTTTTGGTGACACTGTTAGGCCAGGTCGTAAAAATTCTACGTCTACATTTTAAGACCGGGCACCGTACCTTTTTTAATGTTCCATTTATATTTAACGAGTTTAATAACCTCATCAGTAGTCCACTGTATTGATCTGGTCAAGCATACCATTAATATTTCCATAAAACTTAGGTGAGAACAGAACTGGTCCAAATTTCCACATTTCATACAAACAAACAAACAAATAAACAATCAAACAAACTTACGAAATAATACGTGCGGCAATGATAAAAAGATGTGATATTTTATATAATAATCATTTGACATTCGTTTCTTCTTCGTCTTCTTCTACTGTTTAATATAAACTATAAAATTTGGTGATAAAGTTAA